TTTTGCACCACGTTTCTCAAGTGTTTTTAATTTATTCGGCTTATTTTGCTACATCTTTTTCAGTATTTGTATGTTGTGGGGAAAGGGGTTTATTGAGCACACCGCCGGACTTTGTAGCGCTGGACACTTGAAATGATTTCTACAAGTCTCTGCTCTTGCATTGCAAGCCGAGAGGTTGACTACTACTGGCGTCCCCAGCCCTGAAATTAAGCAAAAAGTACCAATGAAAATGGGTTTGTAAGAATAAAAAAAGCTTTAAAAAAGTTAAAAAGCTCACCATTACAAATCTCTTTTTTTTCTGTATAGCAAAACGTAACGGGGTACTTCTTAGTTCTGCAACCTGGTTGTGCCCCTACCCTAAGGTGTGCGGTGCCAAGGGGATCGAGCGTGCCTCGCCGTAGCCAGGGGCATTGCCCGTCTGTAAGAGGCGTCTGGGGCTGTGGCTGAACACGTCTGCGGTCCTGCCAGGGCCACGAGGCAAATCCCCCTGTAAGTATATGACTGCTCAGTATGCTCCTGTCATCGGCAACTTGTGCAGAGCTGCGATGTGAGGAAGCTTTACTTAGCACGGGTTGAAAATGGGCAGGTTTCGGTCAAATTCTCTTCTGGCTTTTCTGCGGCTTTGATGCTTACTTGTTTTCTGCTGGTACAGTATCTCAAAATTCGGGTTAATTTTTTGGACAAAAAGATAAGTAGACAAGACATTGTCAGAATGCAGAAAATGTTCTGACATGGATGTATGTTCTTCGGCCAGACCCTGGAAGATTATTTTTCTTTTTCAACCGGAGCATACTGTGAGTTTTCGCAGGTCTTCATTTCCTCTGAAGATGTAAAACATCCTAAAGCCCATTAAGGGTACCCTAGAAAATTTTGCACCTCTATAAAATTCCACGTACTTAAAAATAAGTCTTCAGATAACCTGCCTCTTCAGAGAGGTGGTACAAAACGGGAGGCAGAAGCAGGGGCCTTACTGGGGAAAAGATGTGAAGCGGAGGGAGCTTCAGATGAAAGCGCCTGCAGCTTTGCTAACACACGGCACTGCTTCTGAAGCACAGCCTGCCTGCCCTCCCTCCCCCCTAAAAAAACCCCTACATAAACCATAGCGAGAATACGGCCAAGTATAAAGAGGTGTTTAATTCCTTCAGAAACCATCTTGCTGTTCGACTACCACCGCTCGCTTTGAAAATGCACAGAGTAGAAGCTCCGTGCACGCAACCAGAAAGAAGTTCTTACTGTTGCTTTCCAAGTCAGACGTAAACTCTCGCCAAAAGCATGAAAGGTTTTTACGGGAGGATAGCGAACTCCTTCCCTGCATGAGTTTGTTCTAAAACTATCATGCGTTAACAGGATTACGGGACATTGCATGGAATAACCTGGTACGAATCAGCCTTTCTTCAGGTAGTTGCGTCAATGAAATAGCGTGCTCTTAAGCTGACAGGTGATGCGAACGGCATTAAGGTTGATTCTTCGTTTAAGTATAATGTAATATTTGGGGCTTCTGGAGCCCATTCCTTAGTCTGTGTTTTGTTCATTAATTACTTCAGAAAAGAAGGAAACTTCACCAAAAAAGGGAGGGATCTCTCCTCAAACAGAATTTAACAGAGTAGCCATATTCTGATGGCTGTGTCTGGGCAGAGGTGCAGAGCTGGTACCTTGAAGAATGCCAGCGAGCTGCGCTTACTGATAGAGGGCTCGAAATGTTCTCTGCTACGCTGTAAACTATGGGCAAGGGGCATGAAACATCCACATCCCGAAAACGTGACACTTACCTGCTGTCTTCACATTTATCTGTGATCTGAAGTTCAAAACTCAAGAAAGTATTTGCTGAGACTAAACAGCAAAATGCTTTTGAGTGCTTCAGAAAATCGGTGCCAATCTAAAATCCTGTAAATTGTGATAATTAAAGCACAGCGTTTTTGTGTTTTAATAAGAGGTAAAATGCTTTTAGTTATTACTAAGAATTGCTTTTCATGAAAGAAAAGGGGGAACTTCTCTGAGACGAGAATCAAACATACGGACTTTTGAATAGATAGTACATTTTTGTACTTTTATGATGTTACAGAAGCATAGCTTTCCGAAGCAGGTTTCAAAGACCGCCTACATGCAGTTCCCTGCATTTTCACAGATGAGGTTACTGAGGGCTGTAGAAATGCAAGGCCTTACCAAAGATTACATTGGGCAGCAGTGTGAAAATCAGAACTGGACCATGTGCGTACCGAATGCCAGCGAGCCTGCGTCAGCAAAGCACAGGACTGCTGCTCGTGGTCGTAGGTTGCGATACACGGCATAATTGCAACTTTATTCTCAGAGAAATATATTCAAAATGAAGTAGTTCTAATTCTGTAAAATCAAAAGCCCCAACAGAGTAAAACATTAAGTGGAGCACTCTTCTTGTTTGGTTGCGTTACTGTCAATGTAGTATTTTATAGAGATTCAGAGCGTAACTTGTAGAGGATGAGCTCATAAACACCACCCCCCTCCCCAACTTAAATGATAAAGATTTGTTAGCACTCTCAGAAAAACTCCAGCTCCAAAGATTTCCATTTTATGCAGATTTATGATGTTTTTTCTCCCATGGATTAAGGGCTTAGGGGAGAAATAGCTGCCAAACGTTTTTATAGGTGTATATGAACCCAAAAAGTTCAATCTGGTTGAACCTCTATAGCGGGTAACTGTGAAGGACATCAGTTAAATCTTCCTTAAGCAATTGTTTGCAGCTTACATTTAAATTCAGATTTAAGTGGTTCAGAAAAGGACTGTGAAGCTGAATTTACTCTGGTGTCATGAAGAACTGGAAACTTGCATGCAAACTACTTCTATTTTATTTAAAGCCAGGGCTTTCAGTCAGGACTTGAAAAGCCTGGCTTCTGCTCCCATTGGCTTCCCTGGGATTTGGATCCAGCCCAAAGTACTGCAGGAAGGTAGGGGAAACGGTCTAGGTTTAATTGTCTATTCTGCTCAGAGTCTTGTGTTACGGGGTTAGGGTAACATGGCACTGTGATGAATGTTCCTCTGCCAAGAGTTCAAAATCTGCTGTCTATGGGTGGCAGTAATTAAATCACCTTAATTGTCTTTCATGATTCTTTTAAAGAGAGAAAATTACTTGCCTTGGATTAGCATATTGCCAAAGACTGGTATAAATATTTATGTGGTGCACTCTTTCAATGGCAAGCCTGTACATTCTTCACAGGTCTCCATAGTTCTCTTACCCTGAGCACAGAAGAGCAGTCATTTGAATGCACTACTTACCATCGCTTCCCCCTCTCGCAAAGCTTCAGTAGGTACCAGGCTGAACAATAAAAAAGGTAAGTAGTTCAGAAAGAAGCATCTCTTGCAGCACGTGGATGATATTTAATTTCCTGTGGAAGCTGCAGAATCCTTTGAAGGTGCATATGTTTGTGAAAAAGGTTTGGGAGTTCCCAGTCTTTTCCTCTTACAGCTGTAGAAAATAAACAGCGTTGGAAGAATGACTGGCTTCTCTCTCTTTTTTCACTGCTTCCACATTAAGGGCTCACATACTATTCTTAATTCTAAAATACTGGAAAAAAAAGTGAGATTGTAAATGCTCAGTAAAGGAGCTAAACACCTTCCTTCTTTTTTTATAAAGGTCATCAAGAAAAACATTCCTAAGAGCATGAAATAACTATGCCTGTGTTAAGAACCGTGGAACAAAGCGATCGGTATACTCCTGACTTGAATAATGCCAGGATTTCACTGTAGATCAGTATGGAAAACTCAGGAAAACAGTCAGTGGACAGCTCTTTCATGACTCTGCTTACGTGTACGTATGGTGCTTGCTGGATATCTGGAGAGATGCATTTATGTTGCATTACAGAAAGTAAGTTAAGGGGCTGGTGCTTCTCCATGAAATTACCCTTCCACCTGCTGATGTTAGAGGGTGACAGTAATGCTTTTAATGCCTGTGAACTTGGTAAAGTTTTAGATGGAAATACCTTTTGAGAAATGTGAGTCCTAAATGAAAATCCTTTTTGGCCTATTTCAGCATTGTATGGAAAGCGTTCACATGCTGCTCCCTTGGGTTGCCTTCCTCCAGGACAGACATACCTCTGATGTATCTGGGCATTTTGGAACTGAGCTTTCAATTGCAGTAAAATCTCCTGAGAAGTTGTAACGAACAACAGAAACGCCTGTCCTTTACACAGCTACTAATATTAAACAATTTTCTTTTTTCTTTCTTTCAGAGCGCTGTTTCCAAGTTTGTACTGTAAAAGTCATGACAAACTTCAGTATATGTAAACATTCAAATTTTGGTGCATGCTGCTGAGGTTAATAGTTTGCTAAAATGTTGAGATCAGGAACAGACAAACATTTTTAATAAAATACAAATGCAAGCTTGTTTTGCTAAGACATTGCAGCTTCAGTAAAGATATTTATCGGGCTCCCTTCTATTCTAAGAAAAAAGGATATACTTTTTATAATAGTGGACATTGTACATAAGTCATGGGATCATCCTTTGTGTTTTAACTATTCCTGTTGTTTACACTGCTTTGACAAAATCCAACAAAGCTCCTGACAGCGTGCCAAGAGAGATTTAGTGAGTATTGCAACGTAAACGGAACTGGTGAAGCACAGAAGGTACAGCTGTAAGAGCACAGCAGCTCCGAGGCTGGACCATGCTGCCAGCTCTCCAGCGCGCTGCCTCCATCAGTGACGAGGAGCATAAGCCCAGCCAAGAGTAAGAACAGGGCAACTGGATAGGAACATAATACTAGAGCCATCCCAGCCTGCAAATACTATTTCTGCGCTGGATTTCCTGATCCAGATGCGGTTTCTTAAGTGTTTTCCTTCCCTAGCTTGTAGGATTTCAATGAAAAAGCATTTGATAAGCTATGTTTTTATACAGAACTGGGTATGTTATGACAAAATTACTGGACATTAGGAAAGGAGAAAAAAATATTCCTGGGTATTTTACAGTTACGTACAACTGACAGGCACATAACTAACACTGATGGAGGGCATACTTACATGTGTCCTGGTGAGGGAACAGACATCTAAAATGCAGGGATTGTGTGGGGTTTGCATAGTAAATGTTAATACTTGCTCACTTTGCACTTTTGATGACAAGTTAGATAGTATTACACAGGCTTCTGGTCCTTAGCAGCAGCAGTTTTCTTATGTTACTTCTAATAAGTAATGTATAAATACGGTATGGTAAGCTGATGATTAATTTGCAAGAAGAATTAATTTCTCCTTGACCGAGACAGTGAGCTGTCTTAACCTCTGCACTACAGATTCGGGAGAGAGGGAAGTTACAGAGCCTGAAATTTTTTTTTTTCCTTTGTATTTTTCTTAATGGGTCCTCTCTGTATAACGTATCCTGAAGGTTACTGCTGCTCCTCTGCAGGTCTAAATAGCTAAGGGAGAGATAATCTGAGTGGTAACCTTGAGACAGAAAGCAGGAGCAGATGGCATGAATTAGGAGTGCAGTAGCATTGTATCTACCACCAAAACTTAACAACAGGATTTTTCAGGCATTAATGGAGAAGCAATCTCCTTCATACTTTCGAGGGAATTACTAAGAAATTTCATGTTCCCATGACCGCATGCCTATATGACAGCATGTACCATCTGCAGCTGTATTGTTGTTGGAAACAAGAAGAAGAAACTTCACTGGAAAGGTACTGGTATTTTGGTGGACATGACTATGAATGAAGGGGCCTCTCTTTGAAAACAAACTTATTTTTTTGTAAACATGGTGAAAACTTAAATGGTAAAAATGGAGTTGTCCCTCTCTAAAAACTAGGGCTACACTATTTATAAGGATGTTTATTTTGTTTCCTAGCGTACATTCTCAGATCTTGAGATGGTATGCAGTGCTTGTTCCAGTAATTAAGCTGTTTTAAACAAGGATTTTGCATGCACTGTTTTAGGGACCAAGCTCCTTAGAGTATAAACCTGGCAGGCCTTTCAAGCCTGTGTCCTCCAGAAGCGCAAGATGTTACTGAATTTCTTTGAGTTCACCAGAAGCTTAAATAGCAATCAAACCTCTCTTCCACTAGAAGCTTAAATAGCAATCAAACCTTTCTTCCCCCCACGCTTTCACCATTAACTTAAATGCACTTAATTATCCAGTTGTGAATGTGGAGATTTAAAATACAGAATCTAATGTATTTTACCTATTATAATGATTAAGTTCCATTTCAATAAAATCTTTAAAAGCAATTTACAGTGCAATACTTATACACCTAACACGAGGAGAATTATTACTGTATTTGCATTTTATTTGAAAGTGAGAATGGAGGCTACATTTGTAGTCTCAGGTAGTCACAGTATCTTATTCTGTACACTGTATTATTAATGGAATGCATTACTATACATTTCAATCTGACTGTACAAAATTATAAAATACACTTGAAATGGTAGTGAGGGAGTTTTTTTCTAAATGAGACACTTTGTCTCTTCTCTGCTTTAATGTTATCACACAGCATGAACAACGCAAAACAATAGAAGTTCTAAACAAAGATGCATTTTGGAAGCAAGAAAAATAAGGGGAGGTTTTTAAAGGCCACAGAGTCATGGAACGGTGTTTCTTTTTCTCTTCTTAAAAAATCCCACAACAATCCCCTGAAAAAAACAGGAAGCTTTTTTCTGTATGCCATTGAAAAAAGCTTTGCACTGCTTAATTTTTCTGCAAATTTCTAATAGAAAACAAATTCAAGCATAGCAATGACTTGAACAGAACCTGATCAAAATTTTTGCTTGCCTTTTTTTTTTAACATATTGTCATAATTGCTGATTATTCTACAGATTTAATAATAAGCAATAAAATCCTATGCTGAATGTTCCACTTGCGCTAGGCAAAGCTTGCTGCCAATTTGTGACTCAACAGCACTTGAGTTATTGTTGTAGTTAGGTTCTTTTTCTCCTGCAAAATTTAGGAGCTTTGTGAAAAAGGGAAACCTTGCATAAAGTGATGTGGTGCTTTCTGCTAAAAGCTGCAACTCAACAAATTTAGAAAAGGACTTGGTGGTGAAAATGTATTTTAAAGCTCCCAGTCCTTGGTGATGGAAGTCTAACATTCTGCTATGCCGATCCGTTAATTGTTAAAAGTAGGATGAGACTGCTTATTATTAGTTCTTTGGAAAGTAAAGAAAGAACTAGAGAATTTTTGTCACCTCCTGAAATGTCAGGGAATGCTCTTTAAAGAAGCCACACAATGCAGCTTGTGATACTTTTAAGTATCAAGGTCCAGGAGACGAGAAATCTCTTCATCTCTGGTGTTAATATTTAAAATGGACCATGTATTTAGTCATTTAATTCAGATGCTATGTATTCTTAAATGAAACAGGATCAATAAGAACTTAGTAACTGGGTGAGGGGTTTTAAATCTCACACATCTTTCACGCTCGGTGAGAGAAAAGGTCAGCAGCAGAATAATGTATCTGGTTACAGGTAGCTTAATGAAGTTTTATTGTCAAAGCAGGGCAGGAACTATTTCATCACGTAGGACATACAAGCACACAGATTTCAAGACTAGCTTACACACTATTATAAATCACAGCAATATATTTTAGAACATGTGAACCATTAGAAAATAGTACTTTGGTTGCCAGAAACTAAGTCTCTCGGGCATTTCTTTTGCTGAACAGAAAAGCTCAGACATGTGCAGTGAGTTTGAGCATCTGAATGTGGCACTGCAGGATGCTGAAGATGGTCCAGCGTTGCTTCAGGATCAGAGTCTTCTCATAGCTATGTGTTTTCTGGACCCTCAATAACCAATTTCTGTGTGGAATACAGTTGGCCAATGGTAACCTGAAATCAAACCAAAATATCAGAAAGCTGAAAACAGGAAGTAAACAGGTTATAATTTCAGCTTCACAAGAGAGATTAAAAACAAACCAAGAACTGAGTAGCCCATATATTAAGCTTTTTCATAATGACACTTTTCTTTCAGTAAGCATTTTTGTGAATAATACTGTTATCAGCCTAGACCTTAAGAAAAATAACCCATACATAAAATATCTGCATATGTAAAATCTTAAAATAATGATATCGAGGAATACTGTTGAAAGACTCATATTAAAAGTTAATGTTAGAAGTTACTACAGAGGAAAAGCAAACAGGCTGTACGTTAAAAAAAAGAAAATATAAATAAAATGAAACATAAAAAGATGGATGTAGTCAGCAGATACTTCTTATTACCCTTTTTGGGTGGAAAGCCTAGATACAAATTGCATGGTATGGTATTGTTTTCCAGTTCCTTTGGAACCTTGATTTAATTTACCTTACAAATGGTGAAAAGTTCCACAGTTAGTTCACCAGTAACATTTTACACAGACTGGAACTGACCCCTGGTTCATGAGATGGTATTCACACCTCATGTATTTATGCTTTCCAGTGCGATGAGGAAATGAAAAATGACAAAAATGCAACACTGATGCCTTGATTCCTCTTGCTCTTTAGTCCTTCCTAGTCTGCATCGTGACATTGGTAAATTGTAGTCAGATGCACAGTTAGCGACAGTCACACGCAGCTCTTCAATTAACGCTTGAGGTGTGGAACGAAGAAGTTTCATGCAAGTAAGCTAATGTAAGCAGGAGAAGACATTTATTTCAAAAGTATGGATTTTGGAGACTAATTTTTAATGCCTATTATGCCCTTTCTCACCCCTACTTTCTCCCCAAGGCCTGGGTACACAGTAGCTACGCGTCCTTTTCACAAAAAAAAAAAAGTTCATCTATTTAATTATGGAATTAGGGCAAAAAAGGCTAGATGCTTAACTACTCTAACCACAATATATTTAGTAGAATTTAACACCGCACAAACTAAGCCTGACAGCAGGTCAGGCTCTCTAAGTAGTAAAAAAATGCAGGAAAGAAATTTTTCAGCATTTTTCATTTACCATTTTTGAGGGGAAAAAAATCCTGGCAGCTCTTAAATAAAAATTTCTCATCTATGCCCACACTCATAAAATGTAAATAATATTGCCTTTTAGGAAACGAACTATTTCATCTTGATAAACAGCCTTGTCTGAAACTTGTAACGCATTGATTTTAATCTTGAAATATTTATTACAAGGGAGGATTTATGAGCCATTCTTAAAAGGAACAGAAGTTCTCCTTGCCAGCAAATGTTCCCCTCTTTTGGCACTCAGAACTAAGTCAGTAACAGCAAGCAAACAACTCTTGATTGTTTTTAAAATTACTTACGAAGTATGTTGCATAGGGAATATTTAAAACAAAGGCCGGACACAAGTGCAGCATGTGTTACCAACAGAAATTTTAAGCTGTTGACGAGCATTACTTGTCCAAGAGAACTCGCTGCTCTGGGTGATGTGGCAGCTATACATTTTAGTTGCTGCCTTACCACAAACCACACTGTAGTACTTAATTTTTGTATACTGTGTGTCGGAGCCCAAAGAATCTTTAATCCTTTCCCACACAGTAGAGCAAATTTAATGGGAGGCTCAGAGGGAGATTACAAAAACGCTGAAACCTGAATTGCTTTTTTTTTTTTTTCTCCACCAACTGGGGAGATAGATGAGGCTGAGTACGTGACTTCTCAGTCGGTCATGTTCAGCGGGGGAAGATGGCTTTGCAAGGAGAAAGGTACGAGCTGTTGGTTGCTGTCCCTGTGCCAAAAGGCAATGTTATCTACTGCTGTTACCTCCTGCCTCGAACGCAGTGCGATCGTAGGTGCGCGTGTTGAGCTGCTTCCTCAGCTAACCACAGGCACACACGCTGCTGCCAGCACCACGCTGTCTGCCCATGCCGTGCTGCCCCAGCTCGCCTGCTCCCCTGCCTCCCTTCCAGGAGCTACGCCACGACATTTTCAGCTGAACTTTGAAATGTAAGGATTTTTTTTAATTTTTTTTATTTTTTTTTTAAACCGCTAGCCTTGAATTTCTAACATTATGATCAAGCCTTTCCCATGTACTTTAGTCAAAACAAATAGACCTTCCGTTTATAGCTGCTGAAAAATTCACATCTATAAACATCCACTGCCTCAGCAGAAAGACTGCACCGCTATTTACACACTGACACTCATTAACCCTCGGAATCAAACCAGCGTTCTCGCAGCGTCCTCCCCAACGCGAAGTCTAAAGAAAGCACTTAAGCAGCAAGCATCGCCGCAGATCGTTCTCCCAAATTAAAGACCTAAGTGGCTCTCTGTTGCGCTCTTTTTTCATCCTGTGCGTTTGTAGCTCGTATACCGCATGCCACCGACTCGTCGGGTGGGTGGCGGAAAGCCAGTGCAGAGGTCAGTGTCAGGGTATTTTCATTAATCACAGGAAGCTTTTGTGGAAAAAGGCTCTGCCATTCCCTCGGCAACTTTGTTACCCAGAATTGTATTTACCTCTGCAAGGTAACACATTGCAATTAAGTTCTGCAGGAAAGAATGCAGAATAACTAACCATTCTATCATCACCAGAAGACAATACAAAAAATCCCATAAAGGCTGCTTTTCAGATTTTACTGGATTACTTGATGCTTAAATCTTGCCTGCAAAATTATGTACTTTAAAAATAAGTCTGACAAGTCCAACCCTCAAAACCTGACAATTTGTCCGTGTTCAAACATTTAGTGCAAGTCTATACAGTCAGCTTTTCTTCTGAACTTGAAAAACTTAATCTTGCCTTCCATCTGAATCCAGGACAAGGTTTAGGGTTTCAAAATGGGATTTATCAGCAGATGTGAGACAACAAATGGGGAAAAAAAGAAATTATTGAACAGCAAGCACTGGTCCATCCTGTAACCCAACCATTCCCTGGTTATTAGGTGTTTGTGTGTTCATATGGGAAGAGCACTTTTCCATGCTCGTGGCTGGCAGCAGCAATCACAAGGAGAAGCTGCTTCATGGAATTGCTATTGGGAAAAAAACAAGTAGGAGAGGTTTTCCCCAGCTAACAGAGTATCAGAGATGCGTATGAGGAGGTGCAGTAAGAATTAAATAGTAGAATTAAGTAAAAAGAATTCAGAATTAAAAAAGAAGAATGTTTAGCCTGGAGAAGAGAAGGCTGCGGGGAGACCTGATTGCAGCCTTTCAGTACTTAAAAGGAGCCTATAGGAAAGACAGGGACAATCTTTTTAGTAGGGACAGCTGCAACAGGACAAGGGGTAACAGTTTTAAACTAAAACAAGGTAGGTTTAGACTGGATATAAGGAAGAAATTCTTTACAATGAGGGTGGTGAAACACTGGAACAGGTTGCCCAGGGAGGTAGTGGAGACCCCATCCCTGGAAACATTCAAGGCCAGGTTGGACGGGGCTCTGAGCAACCTGATCTAGTTAGCGGTGTCCCTGCTCACTGCAGGGGGGTTGGACTAGACGACCCCTAAAGGTCCCTTCTAACCCAAAACATTCTATGATTCCATCATTCTATGAATTAAAGAAGTAGAACTAAATATTGAAAAAAAATCACAATGTCCTGAAGGCATGAGAAGAACATGCTATCACCCTAAAAATTCAAATGAATTCAGTCTAACTGCCAGCTCTGAACTTTGTCCTTGCAGATGGTCTATGGCTGGGCAGTGCCTGACTCTCAGGGTCACCTGTGGCTGCTGAGCAGGTTCTGTGTAGCTTCCATGCCAAACCATACAAGGGATACAACAGCAGCGGGACAGTGTTGAACTGGGAGGTCGCCTGAATCCTAGGGGCTGCCTTCCTATCCGAAACAACCAGTCAAGTAGATCCTGCAGACCCATTGCCACAGCTTGCAACATACTACTGGAAGATCTTCAGCTTTTAAAGTATGTGGTGTGCCTTGTGGTTTTTACCCATATGAAATTTTACTTTGCAGTTCAGAGTTGAGGTAGAAGTGACCGCTCCTATTTCTGCAGGGCTAAAAATAAGGTGCTAAACTGAGTGTTAAAAATTTCTTCTGAATTTGCCTTGGTCATTTTAGAGTGCATGGGTCTGCTCTGAAAAGTATGATGGCATCTTTCCTTGACAGCTCTGTATATATTCAAAATGTCTGTCCACTTTAATAAACACCACATTTTCCCCTCCTTACTTGTGTTGGTTCTGCAGTACAAAGGTAGCCAGGCATCTCTTTCCCCCCATGTACTTTACAGAATTGTAATTGCATAGTGAATAACCTGCGAGCTCCAACAAATCCTGCTGAGCTCTAATGAAGATACTTTTTCTCACTGTCACCGAACTACTTATTGTTATCTTCCTGCCAAACCTGACAATCTCCGAACTACTTGGGCGAGGTCTCACTGGCAAATTTCAACGTGAATGCCTTAAAATTACTCAGGTAAGTAGCTAGGCGGCAGGCCTGAGAAAAGGCAATGTCCAAAAGGAAGCGGCAATGTACAGCCAAAGCCTACACCCCCACGGGTGGATCTGAAGAAGGATGGCCACAGCTTCAGTAATCAAATGCAAAGTCAAACTGACAAGAAATCTGGCATGTAGTATCTCTTAGCAGGATGGGCACACAAAAAGGAAAGACAACAATTTGGGTGTCAGGCCTTGAAGGAATCTTAGCACCTTGCACAGCTGGTGACATGTCTTGACTGAGTTCCCCAGCACACAGAAACATCATCTTCCTAACGGCAATCAGGGTATGTTCTTCTGTAAATCAATGCGATATGACTATACAGGCTCTCGTAAGGGAACTTTTACCATCACTTTTGAAGCTAAGTCAATGTAAGTCACACAGAGGCATTTACTTTCTCTGTCCCTTCTATGACTCACCCCATTTGTAACACATCTAAGAAAATTAACAAACAGCTGTGTTTATTTAATAACTCCCCACTCATTACAAACTCAATGCAGTTTCTGAAATAATCCCTAGGGAACAATTCTGTCC